CCTCTTCTGAACTCATATCTTCCCAAGCTCAAAACCTTGAATATTTCTTCAATTTTGGGGGCTTCCTCTTGTTCTTATCACAAGAACAAATCCTTTTTAAAGGGGGATGCCCAAAATATTTTATCAGATAGCTTTTTCCACGGGGTTGCTCGTGGTTATAGTGTCAATTCCCACAGACGTCGCCAATCTGTTGACCCCAAAATATGTTGCCAACAGATGCCCGGCCCACTCTAATATGCGTAAGCTTAATCCAACACGTTAATGCCGATCGACGGTTAGGATGGTTCCAGAATATGAACGTGGGACAAGTTCAACGACACCAGACGTCTCCATTCGGGTCTCCGACAAGATAAACAGAACACGATTGTATAAGAAGTCATTCGATAAAGAACAAGATTTGTAGTAGAAATATGCTGATAAAAGAGAGAATAATATTGCTCTAAGTATTTAGAATTTCATTCACCTTTTTGTGTTATATGGTGGGGGTATTTATAGTGTTACAAATGAAATAAGGACCCTTGGATCAATTTACACGTGGCGCCATCTCCTCGACCAAGACATCAAGTCCTAACCATCAAGTTGACTCTTCTAGCCTTACAAAACATTAAATGCTCTTACATTGACAAGACAAGATACAAATAAACTTTACACAAAAGTCACATCAATCATTCAAATTAAAGATCTTCATCATAAGCAAATCTTCACACGTGGGACATTGCTAACTGCTGAAGAGCCTCGGATAGTGAGTGGAGGTGCCCTAGGCCTCGAATAATGCATGGCCTTGGAACAAGGGCCTCGGCTAAGCTCCGAGCCTCGGTTGGCACGTCAGAGGCCAGGAAAACACATCCTGATTCAATGGGCTGGTCCCACCATTCAAATATGATGCCACGTGGTGATCCTATTTATAAGTCGTAACAATAGTCCCCCAAGTCAATGTGTGGTTATTTATGTCATGCGTGGACTTTCAAGAAGTTATTTAATGCACAAGGTTAACGAAGTTGCCTTTAAAGCTGAAGTCCTTTGAAGCAGAGGCGAGTTCGTATTGGAACTGATCGAAGCTGAAGTCCTTTTGAAGCAGAGGCGAGTTCATAGTGGAACTGGCCGAGGCTGTATTCCTTTTGAAGCAGGGGCGAATTACATGGATATTAGTGCCTGCGATGTGATGGTTTTGCATGTTTCCAAAGCCAACTCTGTACATTGAAATGATTTTCCATACCCGTACAGCCGTTCGTATTTAATGTGCCATGATAGCTAATTGTTAGGATGCGCAATTTTAAAAAGAGTAGTCACGCGCCCAACTAGTTGTGATGAGCACGCATGAATCTGAGGCGNAGAGTAGTCACGCGCCCAACTAGTTGTGATGAGCACGCATGAATCTGAGGCGTTGGATATACAAACCGTTTGCAATCTGTGGCTTAGATGTATTTGATTTTGGATGCTTCAGATCGACTGGATTTTGATCCAATGGCCAGGGTCGAATTCTTCATTTGTATAAAAACCAAAACCTTGTCATTTCAACCTTATACCATTTGCGAAAATTCATCAAATCCTTTCAAGTTTTCTTACCGTCAGAGAGTTTTCCAGCCACCATCTTCCGGCGAGTCTTCTAAGTTCTTCAATATCATTTCTTTTTGTTTGACTGTAATATCTTCTGAGGCTTCAATGGCCATTACCTTAGTTAGCCATGGGGAGGAGTCTATATCTGGGGCCTCGGGTAAATGGTATAGTATGACTGAGGAGCCCATAAAGTATGAGGTGGGTTGGGTTAGCCAAAGTTCCATCCTCCATAACTTCTTCCAAATTAGCTGAGTTTAGGGAGACTTACAACATACCTCACTATATAGAACTGATAGTCCCCGAGCATCATGAAAGAGCCTGTTTTTCAAGGATGTGTTGTGTCACCTTCAATGAATACCTGCTTAAAGCGGGTGTGCGTCTGCCTCTGCGCCCATTTTTTAGGGCGGTGCTGAGGACCTTCATGTTGTTCCCCACCCAAATTCTGCCAAACGGGTGGAGTCAAGTCGTAGGGGCCTACTTCCTTTGGAAGGAGGTGTCCTTGGGTGAGGACATGCCTCTGGATGTCTTCGAAACTTTATTCCATGCTAGGGTAGTGAGCAAAGACGACTCGAAGGGGTGGTACTATATCACCCCTTGGGGATCCCATGCCCCCTATGGTTGAGGGAGATGCTGTCCCAGTAGTTACCGTACCGACCCAGTACTACGAACCTTGTGAGTGCCTCGTCTTGAATATTTGTACTTTCTGCATAGCTTCTTGGTATTAATTCTTATTTGTTGATTTAAAGATTGTAGTTCGAGGTACGAGCTACCGAAGCGGAGTGGAGTATTATTGTGGACATTTACAAACGATCTCCGAGGCTCCGAAGCTTTGCTCATCTTATCGATAGGGAATGATACTTCATTGATTTTGGACTAATGGCTCCTAAGGGTAAGAAGCTTTCTAACTTCTAACCTTTATATGGCTTCATTAGTCTAACTTTTCCTCTGATGGTTGCAGATAAATTCAGCAAGAAAGCGTATGCTCTGCCTGACATGGCTAGCATTATGAAGGCCACGCCCACTGCTGGGGCGAGTCCTCAGGAGCCAAACAAGTAAAATCGAGGCTCGACCGCCTCAGTAAAGATAAATCTGGGAAAGAGGCTGAGAAGGAAACTCTCAAGGAGTCTCCCAAAGTGGGTAAACCACCTGCTTCCAAGGGCAAGGGCGTGGTTGAAAAGCCTCAGAAGAAAAGAAAGTTGGGCCCAGGTGGTGGGTCTTCTTCAAGTTTTAGGACATCAGTTGGACACTGCTAAGAAACACATGCCCAAGCAGCCGAAACTCCTCCAGTCTTCAATAGATGCTGCATTGGTGGCACAATCTCGGAAGATAATCGAAGAGGCGATGAAGGCCTCCGAGGCCACAAAGAAAGCACCAGTAGAAAGGACTCCGGGGAAGTCTGGGAACTTCCTGGGGGGCAGGGATGACAAGATAGCCCCTGCTCTGATAGAGACGCTTCCTCCTGAGGTGAGGAGTGCCACTGAGGGGTTCAATAAGTTCTAGATAGAGAGGTGGCAGAATTATGTAGCACATGTGATGCAGTGGATCTCACTGCCACCTTGGTGAGCCAAACCGCCAGGGCCTTTGTCGTGGTACTTGAATGCCAGACAGTTCTTTCTAATATTCAGTGAAGGAACAGAGCCTCACGTGATGAGCTGGCTGAAGTTCAAGCTAAACTCCAAGAGAAAAAGGAGTTGAACATTCAGCTAAGAGTCTAGAAGGATGAGGATGATGCCAAGCTAGAGTCCATTTTAGCTGAGGTTGAGGCTCTGAAGAAGGAGGTGGATGAGTCTCAGTGTGAGGTGGCAGCCCTCACAAAAAAGGTGGAGCTGTCTGATAATCACCAAAAGGTCACTACGAAGGCCCTGGAAAAGGTAAACTTGGAATTTACCGGATGTAAGAATGCCAATAAGTTCATGGAGAACGAACTAAGGTGGTATGCCTCGGAAGTGAAAAAATACAAAGCTGACGTTCGTGAAGCAGGTGATATCGCTGTGAGGAACTATATTGCTAATTTCCATCTCACCGAAGAGTATCGTCGCTTCGGCATTTATTGGAGCAGGGTGGCTTACAACGAGGTGTTTGAGAGAATTGGGGAGTTACATCCAGAGCTAGATATTTCTGAGCTCAAAGCAGAATTCATTGAGGAGGAGGTTCCTCAGA